GACTTGCAGCTGTAATTGCAGCAAAAGGTGGCTCCACAAAGAATTGACTCAGGGGGGCTGAATACTTTTGCACATCGCACTTTTCAGTTTTTTATTTGTAAAAAATGTTTTGATTCATGTAAAATTTTGCTTCCACTTCACAGTTGTATACCACTTTGTGTTGGTCTTTCACATTAAATTCCAGTGAAATTTATTTATGTTTGTGGTTGTAATGTGACAAAATATGGAAAAGTTCAAGGGGTATGAATACTTTTGCAAACCACTGTATTTAATAATAGGCCTTTGGTGAAATCAAAGTGAAAACAACATATGCATTTGTATCATGAGTCTTTCCTTGGTGGTGAGTCAAGACCCAGTAATACACAGAATACTGGCTGGATTCCCTGGCTTGGTAGGAACATTTTTAAATAAGCTCGTGAAAATATTTATTTTGATCTTGTATTAAAAGCTTAACTATAACTGGAGTCTGAATATTCTGTTTTGGTCATTTGACTAAGAGGTGTTGCATCATTCTTCTTGGCTGTGCAATAGAAAGGATGGGGTGGGGGAAGATTTCTCATTTGGAAAGCAATGAGACAGTTATTACATTGATCTTAAGAGCTGTATTTGTGCTTTTTGCCACTGTTTAAAGTTAAAGTTAACTAAAGAGCATAGCTAAAGCTTTAGTCTACACTTAAAAAAGAAGCCGTTGTTCAAATTTAGACCCATTTAAAAGAGGATCCCCAATAATTACTGATCTGCATTGGGTCCTGTCTATGTTGGTCCACATCCACTCTGATATGTGTTTTGTTCATCGTATAGATTCGTATTTGTTTGTACTTGTTTGATCACTTTAAATCTACCGGCGGCAAGTAAGTCCTGAGAAATCAGGACTTTTTGTTCTGTGAACCCTCCTGCACAAGAAACAAGCATGTTGTCAGCGACTTTTTTTGCTTGATTCAGCCAGTATCGCACAATTTGTGTTGGCAGGTCAGAGCTATTCAAAAACCAGAATCAGTGCACCTCAATCATAATAAACAAATCTATGTTTAGTATTTTTTACAATTTGTAAAATCTCTGCTCGTGGTGAACTGGTAAACGTTTCCTGAAACAAGTCTTAAACGAAAAGTTCTCAGAGGTGGAAGTTTTGGAAGTGTACACTGAGTATGCGTGAGAGAGTGTATACACACGTGAGAGAGAGATTTGGTGTGTCAGATGTTCTTTACAGTTCATCTGTGTCGACATCTGGCCAAACAGCTGGACGACTCTGGACAGACACGCAGAGGCCATTTACACGTTGACAAGTTGCTCTCTGGACTTTTCTGAGCTTCTCTCCTGCCTCTCGTTTGTTGGTGTGTTGTTTACCTTGATGTGCTGCTTGGCCTCCGTCAGGACTGAAATGTGTCTGCAGTTCTGTCTGTATGTTTTCCAATCAGGAAATGTGAACCATGTGTACGTCGAACATTCCAATACTTGAAGTTCAGCATGCCTTTCCGAGCGCTCCATTGTGATTTATTATGGGAACGAAACAGATGAGCGAAAGCTGCAGTTGTAAAACCATACGGATGATGTAGTCTGTGAAATTTTGGCTCAAGTTTCAACTTTGCCGTTTGGTTTCTTTAGCTCTGACTGTCTGGTTTAATCCAATTAGTTCTGGTTTTTGTTTAGTTTCTTTTCTTCATGACCTGTTTTCAAACCCTGATATGTTAAAAATGTGTAGACTTAAATCTCCCATAACTTGATAAAAAAAGCATACAGTATGTTTTTATTTTTCACTTGGCATGGATTCAATTAAACAATGTTTTCTTTTTTCTCTAAGCGAACAGTTTTTGTGACTTTGCAATAAATGTTTTAGATAGGGAGACTTTAATTTTTCAAACTTAGTTTACAGATGTTTATCCCTTTTTTTCACACTCGTAAGGCTCCGTGTACTGATTTCAAAGGATGTAGAGCAGAGGTGCCCAAAGTGGGGCCCGTGGGCCAATTTTGGCCCACCAAACCATTGATTTGGCCCACCAGCAGTTGTCCTGGTTCCTAGATTGTAATTATGCTCAGATTAAAATACAAGTAACTACAAGAGACATTTAGATTAGATTTAAGACCATATMTAGATTTGCACACCTTAAAAGACCACATCTACTCAAAATTTAAATTTTGAATAGTTTCATGAGCCTTTGCTGTCTGAGCATACATTGAATTTTCTCCATGTCCATGGGCTAAAAAAAAGGAAAAAAAGAAAAAAAAAGAATGTGGGCAACCCTACTGGCTGCTAGCTTAATCACAAAAATAAAATAACTTTACTTAAGTATTTGCATTACTTATAGGGTTGCATTTGGCCCACAGCCCTCAGATTAATTTTAATTTTGGCCCTCTTAGGGAAAATGTTTTTAAATTCTGGCCCTCTTAGGGAAAATGTTTGGGCACCCCTGGTATAGAATTTAATAAAATGCCTGAGAAACACATAATATCACCCCTTTAGCCGAACTGGAGAGACTCCGGTTTCTAACTGAGTGTGATTTACACAACTCCTACACCCCTTTATTGTTACAGCAGGTAAAATAAGTAATGAACACGTCACCATTTTTCTCAGTAAATATATTACTAGAGGTGCTAATGACATGAAATTTTC